AAGAATTTGTATAAGAAAATTGTGAAGAAAAGGTTCTGCGAAAAAATACAGGTGTTTTATGATGTCTCAAAAAACCTAACTGACAGGAATATGAAGTGGTTGTATAAATTGATTGTGCAATACATTATCTAAAGAGTGCATCACTCATTAATGTGATCAAGTTGTGAATCAAGTTGAGATGTGCATAATGTGGCACATAACTGAGAAGAAACCCTTCAATCTTTGTCACACCATTTTTGATAAGATGCAGAATAGCCCTAAAAAACTACCCTATGGCATAGTGCTCACACCTGTGTTTGAATTTTTGGAAGTTAAGTTAAATGAGAGTGAGGGTCAAAATGTTTCAAAGCTAGACAGTGGATCTTTGAAACTAAAAGATGAAGAAGGAGACGAAGAAAAAGAAAAGAAAGAAAAAGAAGAAAAAGTAGAAGAAACTGAGAAAAAGAAGAGAAGAAAAAGGGAAAGTTAAGTTGGAGGATGCAGAAAAGAAAGAAAAGGAAGAGAGATTGGAAGAAAAAGAAAAGAAAGAAAAGGAAAGAAAAAGAAAAGAAAAGAAAAGGAAAAGAAGAATTGGAAAAGAAGAAGAGAAGCACTGAAATAAAGAAAGAAAAGGAACAGTTGAATAAGGAGGTTAAGACAGAAAATCAGAAAAGGAAATAGAAAAAAGATAAAGGAAAAAGTGTAAGAAGAGAAAAAAGGGATTCTGAAAAAGTTTGAGAAAGAAAAGAACAGCAGAAAAATAGAGGAAGCTAATGATGCAGAAAATGGAAAAATTGGAAATATTGAGTGAAAGAATGAAAAGAACACTGAGGCTAAGGCAGAAAAAGAATCTGAACTTTAATCAGCAACAAAGAAAGTAGAAGAAGCTATATCTGGCAGAATGGAAAAAAGAAGCTTATAGAAAGAACACAAATAAAGGGGAACTTGAATGAGGTGCAAATAAAAACAAAAGACAAAGCTGTGAATTAGAGCCATAAATCAGTCCCTTCATTGACTCCGTTAGAAAGAAGAAGAATATTAATGAGAGAAAAGCTAGCTACCTGTACTCTGAAAAGTTCAGGGAACACCCCTAACACTCCTAACCTCAGAAAAAGCCCAAAGAGAAAGATAAATGTACACTGCTGACACACAGAGTCATGGAAGAAAGCACTCTTACTGCAAACCTCTTCTAAAGCGTCCGAAAGTTCTACTGAAACTGCTCCTGCCAAAATCTCAAGAAAGTTCTTAAAAGACTTAGAACTGGAACCCCAAAATCTCTCTGATTTATTTTATCTTTAATCTGTTTTATATTTTGTGAAACAATTTATTTTGGTTGTGTTTTTTTATATTTGTTTTTTGCTACTGATCATTTACTAACCCTCTGTATGATGACAAAAAAGGGGGAGAACAGCAAGGATACTTTGATGGTTAAGTAACTCTACTAATATGTGGTAAACTTTACGTAGGCAACTTTAGTGCTTACATCTTATTGCTTAGTATTTTCTAATCTGTGTTATTTTGTGAGTTATATGTTTTACATGATGAACTGATTGGTTAGTTTTTAGAAGTTTGATTCTTGTTTTAACGTATGCTCTGCAGGTTGGATTTAAGATTTCTGTTCTTTTTCTAAAGTCAGTTTTTATTCTATTTGCTCTGATTATATGCTCTGATTATTAGAATTTAAAATTTGTATGTTCTAATATCAGTTTCTAAAATTACTCTCTAAGTCCCCATAGGTGTTTTACTGCACTAACTCAGGGGGAGTTTTATACATGTTCTAAACCTGCTTCAAGATAGAACATATGTCATGTTTATAATGTTTAGAACTTATATTTTATTGACATGCATAAATTTATGGAGAGCACATGTTTTATTTTTGTACGTAGATGATATGATAATAAAAAGCACTCAGGCTACTAACTATCCTAGAGACCCATATGGAGCATTTGAAATCTTGAATAAGTTTTGTTGGCTCAAGGGTCAAATATTTATCTCGAGATTTTGATGAATGAAACAAAATAAATAAATTTAAATTATATTATTTGTGCTAATAATATTTTTATGCAGATTATATAAGGAAGCTAATAAATAAACAAAGTAAGTCGTACAATTTCAAGGATCATGAAGACTATTGAAGACCTTAGTGGTTAGATTTTTTAGGATTCATTGTAGGATAGTGAGAACATCCATTTATAAGCACAAAACTAATTTTTTCTCTTTTGATCAAGGATTTTTCGAAAATAACTCTTTAAAAATCAAAAGCCTTTTTCGTTCCTTGATTATCTTACCTAAAAATGGAAGAGATCTTGTTTCAATCATTTTTAATAATAAATATCTTAGAAAATAGCATGTTTTTAATTTTTTGAAAAATTATCTTCATTTAATTTTTTCAAAAAATTATCTTCATAAAAGGTTCGAAATTTATTCATTTACCTAAATTAGAGAGACTTTGTCTCAAACGATTTTGGTAATAATAATAAATCGAAATAAGATTTTTATGCTCTTCATTTTCGGAAACAAATTTTTAAAGAAGATCCAAAATCTTAATTTTATCTTCTTACATAAACGAAAGAGATTCTATCTTAAATCGTTTTTGGTCAATATTTCGAAAAATATTTCTTTTATTTTCGAAAATCTTATTCTTAAAGGAAAGTTAAATTTTCTTTTATTCACTTACTAAAAAGAAAGAATATTGACTCAAAAGATTTGGTAACGAAGACTTTCGTATCTTCTAAAAATGGAAAGTCAATATTCTGATTTGAAAAAGGGATTTCACTTTCTAAATACAGGATTCTCACCCCTCTCTATAAAATGGGTCTTTCGTCTTTAAAAGACATGGAGAAAAGAGTTTTTGTTTAAAGAGTATTCGTCCATTGATTATATCTTTTATCTCTCAAAACTTTCTCTCTACCCCCTTATTTTCTTTTCATCTTAATACTTTACGTTTTTATCTTTAAAAGAGAAAAGAAATTTTATAACAATTTCTTTTGAAAAACAGTTCTTTTATACTTTATGTTTTATCTTTAAAAGAGAAAAGAGATTTTATAACAGCTTCTTTTGAAAAACAATTCTGTTTTCTAAACGATTTTCTAATTTGAAAAACTATTTTTCCTGTGCTTATATTTGCATTCCTGTCTGTCTATTTAGATTCTATAATCTTCAGTTGACAGGTTTCTTTTTGATAAACATTTGTGTAATAGCTTATGTGAGAAGCTATTGTGAAAGAGGTTATCAAGCGACCTTCTCCGTAAGAGAGATTCTAATCTTGAATTGAGTTTCTATTTTTCTTGTCACAAAAAACAAGGAAAGGGTTGAGGTTAACCTAAAACCTTTGGAAAATTCTAGTGGCGACCAAAGGATAGATCTAGGAGTTGATCTATTACTTGTACTGTTTGCGTTTGTTCTTTACCCTTGAAAAGAAGATAACATAGTTAAAGGGATCTCAAGATTGAAGTCTTTGGAGAGTGGATGTGGGCGAGTTTAAGTGCCGAATCACTATAAATCACTGGTATTGATCTTTTTTATTTTCTGAGTTTGCTTGTTACTATTTTATTTATTTTCTGAAGTTTTGCTTGATACTATTTTACTCACACTTCTATTTATATTTTAGAAAGTTAGAGTTGTTAATGGTTTTAATGTTCTAAAACTGAAATAAACTTTATCTTTTCTGAACATTAGAACTTTGGACTTCTGCTCAGTGAATATACCAAGTTCCAAATTGTTCTTCTATTTTCAGTATATTTCACTACTTGGGTTTCTAATCAATTCTCTAATCTTGATTGAAGCTTTGTGAAGCAGTTTAGATTTCAATAACTGTCTCTCTCATAGTTTTTTTTTATTTAAACTTTATAAGGAAATTCTAAACAAAATAGCTTTACTTCATAAAGTAGTTTTGATATTGCATAAGAAATTGTGAAGCAGTTTTAATCAATAAATGTACTTTGCAAAATTTTTCTATTTTCTGCATAAGGGCATTGTGCGGAAGTTCTAATCAATAATTTATTCTCACAAGTGCATTACTTTTCCGCTGCAATAGAATTTTGAGTTTTGTTTTTAAGTTAAAATTCTTTTATTTTTAGAAAACTCAATTCACTCCACCTCTTGGGTTGTGCCATACATATTTGGGACTTACATTCTAGTATCAGAGCTTTGGCTCTTGACTCACCAAAGATTAATAGCTTAAGAGATAAGATCCCATGGCAGCCCAACTTCCTTTTACTTCTTTAGAAGGTCAATCTGTTTCTAGACCTCCTTTGTTCAATGGTTCTAATTACTCTTATTGGAAAACCAGAATGAAAAATTTCATAAAAGGAAAACCAGAATGAAAATTTTCATAATCTAAAAATTAGTTGGATTATAAACTACTGGAGGAATGTCATTACTGGTCCTCGCATTGCCATGAAAAATTGTTTAGAAAATGAGAGAGTTTAGAAAATCAGAAGAAAATATACTGAAAGCTGACTTGGAATTATATTTCTATAAACGCAAAAGCTAATTATATTCTTCACAAGAAGAATATACTGAAGCTGACTGGAATTATATTTCTATAAACGCAAAAGCTATTAATATTCTTCACTGTGCATTAGATCCATCAGAATATAACAAAGTGTCTGGATGTAAGTCTGCAATATAAGTTTAGGAAAAAATTGTAATTAATACTTAAATTATATTAAAAAATAGTGAACGGGAATATTTATATTAATAAGTAAAAGGACAAAGCTCTCTCAACCAAAGTTGTTTTCATAAATTTGTTGAGCTAAGGGGAGGATTATCCCTTGTTGTGTAGCCCACGGTGTTATTTTCGCCTATAAAAATTTTGAATAAATTAAAAAAAAAAGTAAAATGACAAAATACAATACACGTTGTAAAGAACCAGTAATTATAAATATTTTTATAGTTTTATAAATTAATATATTTAATATTTTCCAATATTACAATCAAATAAATGGAAAATGAGTTATGTAAAAAAAATATTTTACAAACATAAATTATTCTCTGAAAACAAAAGGATGCCAGAAGTTTTTTTAAATAGGCATGGCAGAAATATATAATTCAACTACTTGGGACACATTCCAATATTCCCTTCATTTCTCACATGGGGAGATCACACGTATAGTAATAATTAAACCAAATGATATAAACAAAAGCAAGGAAATTAAGCATTCCTGATAGGACAAGCCAGTGTTTTGTTTTTGTTAATTACATTCTGATTAGAGTTGAAAATTCAGCATCTGCATCATATCAATCCAGTGTCGTTTTATTATTGTTTTTGTCAAAAGTAAAAGGGCTTTCATGGTTGTGCACACCTTCGTATGTTGTTATCACATAGCTTGAATCTTTTCCATCTCTTTCCACTCTTTTTTTTACTCTGCATCCTTCATTTGAACATCGATAATAGTTTCTGGTCTCAAGTTCCAATATGCAAACAATAAGAAAAAAAGAAAAAGATATATAATTCTTGAGGACTATTAATCATGCCAAACAAGAAGCAACAATAAGAAGAATGCTTCTCTTTATTTTATTATGGTTATTGCTCGATATAAGCTTTTTAAGTAGCTTTTATTCAAAATACTAAATATTATTTTTATAGTGTTCGGTAATATAGCTTTTAAATTAGCTTTTAAAGGTTAAGGTAGCTTAATAAAATATTAACCTTGTAACATTTAGTTTTTGGCGTTTTATGAAGAGCTACTAAACAGCTCCTAACTATTAAAACAGTTAAATACTATTAAAATAGATAAAAGTTACTAAAACATTTAACAGTTACTAAAATAATTAATTTTTGTTTTATCGGATAGGACCTGTGTAACCAAATTTATATTAGAGATTATTTTCAATAAATCTGACCGAGATCGAAATTTTAAAATTAAGACTTTTCTATTGTAAAAGTAACTTTGTTCTAACTTATGTTAAGCCATACATGAATACAAGTCACATCCATTCTTTAGTGTGATCACCTAACGAGTTTAACCCCACAAAAAAAAAAAAAAAAATCATGATCACCCTAACGAGTTTAACCCCACAAAAAAAAAAAAAAAAAAAAAAAAAAAATCACTTTTTCTTTTTCTTATTATTTCTTCTTCTGGTATTAAGCATATTTTTTGTAAAATGCAGATCCCACATCAACAAAGCTTGAGAGGCATGCGTTAGAACACCAAGAAGCCTTTTTAGGGAGCCAGGTATGCGCCCTCTCAGACATGGAACCATGAGAGCTGGACTGTTACATTTTTCATTGAGATTTAAAGTTTTTGTTCTGTAAAAATAGTATTTTAGATCCCATTGAAAAAAAAAATTGAAAATATTCTCTACCCTAAATTTTTTTTTTTTATCAAAATCAATCAATAGTATCCAGCTAGAACAACAAAGCCAAACTTATATATAGCCAAACTTATATATATATATATATATTATATATTATTATATTATTATATATATATATATATTCCAAAAAATGTGCATATTATTAGTTCTACCCTGTGCGTTCTATTTTGGCCCACTTATCTTCACAGAAATAAATTCAGTGTTTTGGAGTTTTTTTTAATTTTAAAAGAACAAAAACATTATTTTAAGATATATATATCCAAAAAATGTGCATATTATTAGTTCTACCTGTGGTCTATTTTTGCACTTATCTCACAGAAATAAATTCAGTGTTTTGAGTTTTTAATTAAAAGAACAAAAACATTATTTTATAGATGTAAGTTGAAGATGCATATGCTTAATTCTAGCACTGGATTTGATAAATGACACATGGTTGGACTCCAACAACCATGTTTTCAGTTTCCGGATACAGGGATTGTTTGGTAAAATTAGATGTTTTGACAGCTGTTAACTGTTTGAGTAACTTTTCATGAAACACTAAAAGCTAAATATTATATGGTTAACTTTTTTATAAAACGCTAACTTAATTTCTAAAATCTTATTTAAACGTTATGTTATATATGTTATCAAGTACTATAAAAAAAAATAGCGTTTTGACCAGCTACTTAAAAAGTTATTGTCGAATGCAATCATAATAGTAAGAACATTTATTGTTCAAAGAAAAGCATACATGTGTTGTAGGGTGTAAAAGATAATTAATTTTAGCAATCTTTTCTTCATGAAATTAAGTAGTGCATGGAATTCTATATAATTTTATAAAGTCAGAATAAGTGTCTCATAAAATCCAACATGGTCAGTTGATCACCATGCATGTACTTGTTGAAAGTTAAAATGAAACTAGGCCATTAGCAGCAATATTAATGCTTTAATTTTTTTTTTCTTTCTTATTTATTTTTTCATGATCTAAGTTTATAATTTTCTGTATTAAAAGATTGAACTTCATTGAATTATTATTATATAATTTAGTTCCAGTACTTGTCAGATGATTTATATCTTTTGAATACATATGTAGATCAAGTATATGAATTAGGGTTCATCAAGTGATGACCAAATGTCAAATAGGAACTATTTGATAAATTAATAAATATAAAATTTACTTATAATTTATAAATTAATTACCTGGGATTAGTATTATTTTTAATAGCCTTCTTCCCATATTTTCTCCACTTGAAGCCATCATCCATGACTTCAAGCATTGATTTTGTCCTAAATGCTATTTTGTTTCTCTTTTCTATCTTCATCCTCTTTTTCACTTCATCCTCATATCTTCCACAACCAAAAATATAATTTGAAAAAAAGAAAAAACATTAGAGAAAACAATACTATCTTTTAAAAGTTATAATCAAAGAATTAAAATACCTTAAAGCAATTGAGTTAGTACCTTAACTGGTTCTGATGGGAATCTGGGTTTTGAGACAGAAATTCCGTGAAATCTTTCTCTAATTCTTCTGCCAACATCAGATCCAACAGCTCCAAGTTTTGGTAATTGATGGCACTGGTGTTCATTGCATTACTGTTGCTACTGTGGGCGTTAAAATTAGGGTTTTGAGGAATGTCTGTTTCAAGGAAGCTCGAGTACTGAGAGTCAGACATGATGGGTAATTAAAAATATGAAAAGTGGAGATGGAACAAGAGGAAAATGAGGAAATTATATAGCATAGTTATTGTGTGTTTGAATTGTATTATATAAATGGAGTTTTCAAGGTCAACTTGCTTGTGCAAATTCATTCATAGGTTCAAATTTCTTCCACGTGTTGCTCGTTTCACAATAATCACAATGAGTTTTCAAAGGCTACCTCACAAACCCTCTGCTGTGTAATTCACGGTGTGTTTTTTGGGTCTTTGAACTTTCTAATAAATCAAAAACTAGATTTTATTATTTTAATTTATTGGTAAAAAATAAAAATAAATAAGTATAGATAACCTGTGGTATCAGAGCAAAACGTTTTAAAATATTTAAATTTGACATAACTTATTTTCAGATTTTTTAAAAGGTAAGTACATGGACCAACTATGCTGTATGTCACAGCAACATGTATCTAGTAATATCTGACACCTCTGATTTGCAATGAAGTCCATGATATATTATTTGCATATCGGTTTTTATGAATTTCTTTAGGCTTTATTTTAGTATATCTAAGCTCTATTTTTTAATAATTATTAGTCTAAATGTATAAGTCTTCTAATTAAATGCATTTATATGAATTTTTCATCAAGCAATCCAACTAAATAATAATTTTTTTTTTATTATCTTGAGTGTCCCTATACATTTTGGTTATTGGAAATCTTTCATTTCAGGATTTATAACTGTACTTTTATAAATATTTTTACATGACTCGAATCTGCCCTTCTATAAATATTTTTATATGAATCGAATCTGACCATTTATAGATTATTTGATGAACCTTTGACCTTCTCACTTTCCTTTTTTTTCTCTTTTTTAAATTTTCATTTTTTTTATTTCCTAAGAAAGTATAATACAAAAATGTTATAAATTGAGAAGAAATGGAGAGAAGTCATAAAATGAAATTTTTTTTTTTTTTTGTATTCTAATAAAAATTTCAATCAAATTCACATAACACTTAAATATAAAATGTATGAAAAAGAAATAGAAATTTAGAAAAAAAAAAGTTCAAAACCAAGTGGGTCTGGGGCCAAGAGAAGCCATTTCAAGCACGCGTGGCTACCCAAGCACAAGGAGATTTTACATATCAAAGTTCTATTCTGCAAAATTAGTTGTGCATTACTAACGTTGTTTTAACTGTCATCTATTTAAATAACTTCTTATGAAACACTACAAGTTAAATATATATAAGTTAATTTTTTATAAAATGCTATCTTAATCTCTAGAAGCCAATTCAAATATTATGTTATCGAAAAACTAACGTTTTCTGATCACAGTCTTTAAGTATAAGGTACATCCATGCAAGTAGCGGCCAAACTTTGCGTGTAGTACTTGGCCAACTATTATATACAACAAATAAATATCTAAAGATTCTAATTACTAGCTTTAGTAATTTTGCTAATGATTATATCTCATCACAAATCGAATTCTGTTTTTGAGATCATTTTTAAAAAAAAAAAATTGTTCACCTAATTAACATTGAAAATTTTTTTTCGCACTCTAATTCTGAAGTCTGGCTTCGAAATTATTAATAAATATTTAGAAGTCTGGTTTCGAAATTATTAATAAATATTTATTAACAGAAGTTCACAATGTTATTCTGATTAAGATATTCAATTTACATATCATTATCATTATCTATCTATATATTTAAATTATTTAATTAAATATTTTAGAAGGTCTGGTTTCGAAATTATTAATAAATATTTATTAACAGAAAGTTCACAATGTTATTCTGATTAAGATATTCAATTTACATATCCATTATCATTATCCTTATCTATATATTATATATATTATATATATATATATATATATATATATATATATTATATATATATATATATATATATATATATATATAATATATATATATATATAAATCCGAAAAAAAAAATCTTCAAATAGCTTTATTTGCATTCTCTCCTTCAAATAATTTCATATTTTTCTTTTTTTATAAAATTTCTCATTTTCTAAATTAATTTTTTAAACATTTCTTCTTTCTATATTTAATTCTAAATATATTTAGAATTTCTAAAATTATTTAATAATTAAAATTTTAAATAATTAATACTTTAAAATACCTTAAGACTTTTTGAATTTTGAAACTAAAACTTTTAAAATTTTTGAATTTTTTTTCTTATTTATATCTATCTATATGTACTTATATCTATCTATATATCTCACTTCCAATGATTTTCTTTCAAAGTGGTTTTCTTTTTTTTATGTTGTTGCTTTTCAATCCTCGAGTTTTGATTATTACTTTATTTATTTCTTTATATATATGTACGTTCAATTCAGATATGTGATTGCCTTCTTCTTCGATTGAGGTAATGTTAACTTTTTAATATCTTTTTTTGCTTTTTTTTTAAAGACTTTTAACTTTTTGTGTAATTTTTTATAGTCTTCTTTCTTTTTTTTTTTCATCCCACTCTTGAATCTTATTTCTTTAATAATATTTTCTTTGCTATGTCACTAATCGTATGTGTAAGTGCAAGTATAAAAACTATCATGAGATGAAAATGAAGGAAAAGCTAATAACAATCCATTTATGTATTTTTTTTTATATTTATTATATTTTTAGCAAATCGTAGAAAACTATAAATTGTAAATTTTTTTTCATTCATCGCTTCATATTCATATATGTTTATGTAAATTATTTTTTTTCATTCATCGCTTCATATTCATATATGTTTATGTAAATTTTTAATTACTTATAATTATTTTAATCATGTGTTATTATTATAATAATATTAGTTTTTTTTTTTTGTTCTCCAATTATTGAGTTGGTATATTTCATACAATTCAAGTATTTCATATTAAAATGGAGATAGAAATATCATAGGTTTGGTATTGGTTTTGTGGCTAGAGATTCAGGTGGCGTCTGTTAGATTATTTAATAATCTGTATGTGGCCTATGTGATTAAAGGACTGGTTCTAATTAAGGTGGCCCAAGATAATGGTTATTGGGCTTAATGGATAAGAGCCAGTTAGAGTTTTAATACCCTTATTTACCCTTCCTTCTGCCTTATAAAAGAAAAAGGAATCAACAGATTAGGGGTCAATACAGAAAACAAGAGGAGGTGTGACGGCTCCCTTCAAACATATACGGAAATAGTTTGTTGAGAGAGCTCATAAAAAAGAAACTCCCCAAAGCTGTTGATTATTCTCTGACCATTAAGAGAGCCAAACTTATGGACAAAGGGCCAGATGTGAAGAAACGTTAGATCTGCTGTTTACGGTTGAGAATCGAATTGGTCCCAATGAGGTAACCCATTAACATAGATCTCCATTATTGGATCAAGGTACGCTTTCCGATTTATTTGTTATATTTTCTTGTCAAATAAATTCTCATAAACAATAGATCTCGGCTATATTAAAGTTTATTTTCAAACATGTGGTTATTAAAGTTTATTCAACATGTGGTATCAGAGCTTGTACCTGTTCTAGATTTGTATGATAGCATTTTGTTTGGCTCAATTAATGAAAATTAATTTCGTAAGGTGAAATTGATTTATATGGTATAAGCGAAGCCAAAAATATAGAAATTTGAAAACTGTTTGTTTTCTTTATGCTTATAAATTATTTTGTTATTATTTATAGAGAATGGTTATGACATATTATTGGGTTCTGTCGTTAAAGTTTTGAGATATTAATTTAATCTCATAACAGTTTTGCATAAATCAATGTTTAATGAATGGAAAACTTGTTAATCACCAAAGTGGCCTTGTTTGGATTGTTTTAGACATTGATTATGCAGTTTTCAATTGTTTATATTTGTGTGATGCCGTTATATGACATGAAAGTGAAAATTATGTATATCCAAAGATAACATGCATATTGTATGGAGCATTATTGAATAGTTGAAAGGAATAATAAAAAAAAAAAACGTAACTGACTTCCAGAGAGAAGCACGGGGCGTGCTGTAATGAGCACGGGCATGCCCTAACTTCCAGAGAGAAGCATGGGGCGTGCTGCAATGAGCACGGGCATGCCCTGACTTCCAGTGAGAAGCACAGGGCATGCTGTAGTGAAGCACGGGCGTGATTCTCTCTGACTTGCATAAAGGTTCGCAAGTTGCTCCACAACAATGAAAGTCTATTAAAGTATTTTTCTTCTTGGCATCATTATTGATTAAAGCTATGCATTTAAATATTACCCAAGGTGAATCTAGATGCATAATTAAGGTTGTGTTTTGAATCCATTTTATATTTTTACTCAAAGCATTAACGTATGAGTATTATGTGTAATGTTGCAGCTTCCTTTAACATTGTTTGCTATGGGCACTGGGTTTGATTAAGTTTCATTGGATATGAAACTATGCTGGATTTTTGGTTCTGAACAAATCCATTATCAGTTAGGAGTTCTTGAACTTTGCGATTTGGCATTGTCTCTTGAAAAGCCAGCGCATTACAGAGGACCAGCACTGAAGCTGGAAAAGTCTCATTATGGAGGCTTGGAGTTGCGTCTAACAGGCTGAGCTTTGGAACTTAATGAGGATGACAATGGCTTTGAAAATGTAAAGCCCGTCATGCCCAGAAACAGGACAATGCTAAGAGTACATCTGAAAAATTAAGGAATTACTCCCAAATCGGACATAGCTTTGACAAGGGTCCATCGTTAGGATCTTTTGATGAGTTGAGCTGCACGGACCAAGAGAATGTTTGGATTGGTCATAATCCATCATTGATTTCATGTGACTGGCATGCCAGGAATTTTGGCAGCCAAACTGAAATCAGATGCGGTTAATGGATTGTGAGTGAATCCTTTTTTAGTTCCAATATTATTAACTCACTTTTCCTCTTGAGCTTGGTCAGTTCCAGGTGAATTACAACACCCTTAAGGAAAATGGAACATTCAGGAAATCAACGCCATGTTGCATACCAAGAGGAAGGGAGATTTAAAGAAATTGATAAGGGAAACACTCCATCAATCTCACATTTCATAATGGAGCTAGTTTTAGCAGCCAAACAACAAATCAGGGAAAGAAAGGGCAAGAA